GTTGGCTCCATATATACTTCATCTAAATGATAAACTCACCGTCTCTGGCGTTTGCGAGGCACCTGCATAGTTTATTATGTCTTAAACTATTCAAAAATACTTGAAAAAACTGGACTGCGATACTGCGACAAAATAGTTTATGTTATAATGGTGATCAGAGGTTTCAGAAGCAGACAGCTTTCCGATGTCGAAGTGAGAGCAGCATCATGATAGGGCACGTTAATGAGTCAGAGCAGCATGGACTGTTATCCAGTCAAACATAATCCACCCGCGGACTTTGTCGGGGGGGGAAGGAGGATATCGTTTAACTTGTATACCTCCTTTCTTTTTCTACTAGCGGTGGATAAAACTGCGGAGATGAAGACACCTGCCCCTCTCGAATACGCACTGACAGTTCTCCTTCTCTATTACGCTCATCAGCAATTCACCGGTCGTATTACTACCGTCGCTAATATGCTTGTTCTGCCTTCTTGAACTTCATGGCTCCCTCGTCTCCGCAAAACCTGCTACTAGGTGGGAAGGTTTCTGCAACTGAATGAACTTCCATAAATATAACAATGTAGGCCTCTGGAAAATGTACATTTTAATTTCACCATTACAACAGTTCATTTGCATACGGTCTCAGAGTACTTGGCTCTGAAAAGGTCAGCGGTCATCACGCAGAACTTCTTACTTTTTCACTATAGAGGAGATGCCATCTTCGTTAAGGCTTCAAAATTCAAAGATTTGGTTATAACGCAAGTAACCTTTCAGCTCTCACAAAATCGTGGACGTTGACCTACAAACTACCAACTGGTTCAGACTTGGGTAGCAGGGTCCCGGTTCCGACAATGTCTCTAATACAGCACCGTTTGACTCTCTTTTTCAAACAGACGTCGACTTCCACGGATTGATCACATCCACCAGCTACTGAACTTAAATGAGTTTTTTAAATTTTACTAGTCTTTATTTCATCTCCTTGCAAACAGTCGAAGAATCTTAAGCCGCCTTCTCACATGGTAAATTGGACCTAACGTTGTGGAAGGTTTTTTGAACCAAAAGATGATGGAGATAGAAAGAACTTACACACAACTGTAAAGCAGTGACGCTTAAAGGGAGACGCCTCCTGCAGCTTGGGTATTACACATCGATAGCAAAACTGCCCATCCAATAGCTTCGACGATATCTTCAGGTTGGCCTCCCTGATGCTGGCCTTCGACTTAACAAAGTCAATCATTGATTCCTCCCATTGAGGCTGAAAAAATCTGTACTTTTTTTCCAGTTTATTTTTCGTGGTGCAAGTAATGATTTTGGAGTCTTCGAGATTTTCGAAGATGAAGAGTGTTTTATTAGGGCTGACTTCCAATGAGATGTCGTTGGCATCTGCAAATAATGGAATATGCAGATTAGTCATTCTTAAAAAGACCTAACTATCTTCACTCAAATAAGTTTAAAGGCGGAGCAAATCGGTGAATATCTGCAATAGTAAATGCAGTCAAAAAGAAGTGTATATTAGGAGGGGTTGTTTCGATTTCTGAAATTTCGAATAATCGTACCGCCTATCAGTCCTTAGGGATTGGATAATAATACAAGCAGCACTCAGAATATACCCTCGAAATGCCTACTGGGGCTTCATTGCACTCGCAATTCACTTTGGCTTGCTTCACCAGAAAGGTTATCCTAGTCAATTCTCTGTTAAGACCATAATCGGTGGACAACCAAATCCCCGACGCTGAAAAGAATTCGTTTTAAGGGGATTCCCCTAATGAACCTATTAGAAGATGTTTAATTCAAGCGGTATCGGACGAATTGACGATGACAGGGCATGCTCGCAGGATAATCCCTGGGTGTTTCACACAAATACCAGATGAAGACGAAGAAAGGTGGTAAGCTCATATTCCTATCTGCCCTACTTATTATTACTCAGCTACTAGCACAGTTATAGGATAAAGAAATTTGGCAACAGTAGCTTATGTGGCCCCACTCATCAATCCCTATAACCTGCATGGTTTTTTACGGAAACGGTGTTTATCGGGTTTTATGGGCGGGAAATTAGGACACGCAGTGAAATATACCTTACTAAATGCCAAATTCATTTTTATTTTGCTGTATTTAGAAGTGTTGTTGATTTATATCTGTAGATTTACCTAATCTGTATTATTATTTAACTTATTGCGGAAAAAAGCGATTATCAGACTGCAGGTTTCTTGAATTTCCCGAAAAATAGAAATGGGAGTTAGGAGGTCGTCTACTTCAACTTACCTGAGGCCCAACTTACCGTTCTGGATTTAGATTAGTATAGTCCGCGGCACGAAGCCCGCGCCGTCTACTTCAACTTACCTGTGGTCCAACTTACCGTTCTGGATTTAGATTAGCATAGTCCGCAGCGCAAAGTGCCTAGCACACCTTCAATTTCATGCGGAACAACCTGCTCCCAGCGACCGCGGGAAGCAACTTCGACTATATTTTTTCACTTTACGCTTCTGAAAATTTCCTTTCTCTCCTATCCTATTTCCTCACCCCACAAAACTCTATAACCACCGTTTTTGCAGGAAAATATGCTGGGACTAGGGATATATGATTGGGGCTATATAAGCAACTTTTGCCGTAATTTAAGTTAATTATGAAGCAGATCGCTCTCCTATTAGACAAGAGACGTCCCCAAACCTCAATAACCGCATATGGCACTATGCGACCTAAAGGCATCGTAAAACTGAGCTATTTATTTATAACGTATCGTTAACGACACCCGGAGGATAGAATTGATAGGACGGAAACCAAGGATAGCTCTGATGTGCTCCGGGCGTCAAACATGTAGTCACTTGGAAACCCACAAACTCAGATTCATGGTCCCTGATGGAATCAAAGGGATATGAGTCTCAGCGCTGACTTGATCTGCATCACCTCCGACAAATTTCAGCGTTAGTAGTAGTACCAGTACTCACAAAACTTCACAATATTGCCTACTGCTGGTGGCAGAAATAGTAGTAGCAGGGGTAGCAGTACGGCATCTAACAATTGGAGTGTTTTCATCGCAAGCTATTAGATATAGTAAAATAGTCATAAGATAACATGCTCAATCGAAAGTTTATTGCGTTATCTAAATTCGCCTTGGTAGTCAAAATCATATGGAAAACGGCAACTTGCGGTAATGCGCTCTCCATCGCGCAGCAGGTAGTCAAAATTAATCTAGAAAAATGGAACATTCATCTATTTTACCACCTAAACGCATAGTTAAATTTGAGTTATTAGTAAGGGTTGATTTTTTAACCCTTCAGTTAACTATTTGCCCGACATAGGTTACGACTGCACAATGGGTTCAAACTTCCCACATGCAAGTGCAGTCCGCTTTATACTCTATTTTTACTGGCACACATGATTACTTCAATAAGCACTACTATCAATGACATAGTATCTCCAACAGCCGTCTGCTAGTCCTCACAGTCTAAATCTAACAGGAACTGACACTCTTGGTGAATACAAGTAGAAGGATGGAAACCAGGGTCATCATTGATGTGCTCCGAGCATCAAACATCCAGATCCCCACTACTATCTGAGATCGAGTGAACATTGACCCAGGGCTGACTCAACTCAGCGCCATTCTGACCACTTATTAGCGTTAGTAATGGTAACAACATCACCATCATTCGGTTACACTGCTAATAAGCAGAAGTATAAATATTAAAAGCAGTAGTTGCTAGCTGCATTGGAGAAAGAAGCTCACGACCGATTTCTGCTCGGTCATCTCGACTTTATCTTGTCACCGGTTCAATCGGGGAGAGGGACGTAGATGCCTGCTCGTCCACTTTCACTATACCTGACTACAGTCACCGTCTCTGCTCTTGGGCATGTAGTGGACCTCATCTAAATCAATTGTCAAACTATCAATATTATTAATGGGCCCCATTGGTAGGGTTTCCTTGTGGGGTGTTCGAAAGGCCCTTATGTACTATAGCCACCTACTTAAATGTTATAAGTAGTTTGATTTACCCATAATCTTCCAGTCTTCTACACACCATTCGTCGACCCAGCAGAGATTTGATGACGGCATTGAACTGTAGAGTGGTCCTCCGAAGGTCACCGCATACAATAACCGCTTAAATCAGTAAACTGAGCAATGTTGGCCTTTTAAATTACCCACGGGAGTAATCGCTTACTATAAAATCGTCCAACAAAGGCAGTTGTTTTACTCTTCCAACGCTTTCAGACACTGCAGCGACGAAAGTGGGAAAAAAGAGGAGGTTAAGTACCTGCATGCTCTATTTCAGGCCAACGGTTATCCAATGTCCTTTGTACGCAAGTATGTTAAGAGGCCCCACCTTGAGCGGTCGAAAGGGGAGGACCCCAAGTTCTGGCTCGTAATCCCTTATTTGAAGAATGTATCAGAGGCAGCTGCTAGAATTCTGAGACCATTCGGGATCGGTGTTGCTCATAGGTCAGAGTCAACCATCAAAAAGCAAATCATCCGGCCCAAAGACACGCTATTGCTGAAAAAACAATCAGGTGTGGTCTACAGCATACCA